ACCTATATATATATATATAACGGGACTACCGTCCCGTTAGTCTTCTTCCTTTTATAAGCAAGGTTTTTGAGTATTTAATTAAGAAACATTTAATTTCTCATCTTGAACCTAATAACTTAGCTTCCTATAAACACTATAAAATTCGATCTTTTTGATCGAATGCTGATTTGGTAACGATAATAACAGATGATTTTATTGTGCATTAGATAGATAAAAAGCTATAACTCTCGGCATTTCTAAAAACTTTAATAACTTGTCATCTGGTCTTCTCCATATGCTCTCTTCTTACGGAGTATCAGGCAATATATTCAAGATTGTTGAATCCTTCCTTACCAATTGTAGGCTTCTCCATATGCTCTCTTCTTACGGAGTATCAGGCAATATATTCAAGATTATTGAATCCTTACCTACCAATTGTAGGCAGCACTCTTCATTATTCCTGTAACTCCAGGGGTTCCTGATATTTTTATCATTGGCCCTACACTTTCTAAAATTATTAATATTCTCACATTTTAGGTGACATTGTTTTCTGATGATACTACCATTTATTCTTGTTTTAATAACTAGTCAACTCTCTGATTGTTGGAGGGGACATTTGAGCTTGAAAAGGGTTTCACTTTCTGCTACTAAATTCGAATCTCAGTGGCTGGTGAAAATTAACTCGGATAAAATTTATTTTTTTAATATGCTATTTTGGTAAATAGGCTTCTCACTTGAATGTTATGTTTTTAATTTTAATTTTTAATTTAGAGGTTCTTAACCTGCTTATTTAATTCTTTGAGATTCTTTTTACTGTGCAATGTGTTTTAGATGTTATGCTATTAAAAATTTATAAATAAAGTTTTGTTTCGATGTGAAGGTTTTAGCACATAATTTTTTCTAATATGTTACTTATCTTCTTTGTTGAATTAAGTTTTAGATGATTGTTCATTAGTGTAAAGTATAATTCTTTTTTTTAATATAACAGATTATTTGATGTAATGTGTAAAGTGTAATGTGTAAAGTATAATTTTTTTTCAATATAACAGGTACCTAACAATACTTTTATTGCGAAAATATAAATTCATATTTTTTGTTTCTTTTCTGTTAAAAAACATTTATATTTTTTTACAAAAAATGGAGGTAGAACAAAATAACAAAGTAGTTTACATAAAAAGTAACTATTACATTGTTTTATCTCCAAATCAAGGTGTAGAAAATTAGACACTTGCACTTTAATTATTTCAAAATAAACTTGCCTGTATATGAAATGAATACAAATCGGTTTTTTATATTTTTCGGTCTGCATGTTAATTTAAAACTTTGAAATTGATTTTCTCATTTTAAAAAAACCATGGCGATAAAACAAAATTATTCTAATATCGCGATTGGTATAGTGTCAGAGAACTAAAAATTCTATGTTGTGCATGGATGGTGTCCCTGCTTGTACTTTTAATGTGCATAATCGAGGCAACTTTATGAGGTCTTTGTTATAGAATAGGGTTAAATAATAGTAACTAGAAATTCCGGACCCGTAAAAGGCGTCATGATAGGTCTAAATCACACATCCCACTTATTTTTTACTCGTTTTCAAAATGTTACAAAAAATTGTAGAAAGTAACAATTTGAACTTCATTAGTAATTTAATGTAGCGTTTTCTTTTTTGTTGCTCGAGCGTTTTATGCATACAACTTAACAAAGTTGATACATATATACCTTGAGCTATTAACGCATGCCAACCACGTAATTGTTCAGCATTCATCTAAGTCATATTTTTCAAATGCGGAAAATATTTATCAAAAAGTGCCCCGAGTACATTTTGCCTTGCCTTCGTTTTAAATTTGCGTTAAAATTATTAGTTTTAATTTCCTTAGTTTTTGTATAGGTAACAGACTGAATAATTTAGAAAGCAGATTTATCTCAAAAATATATATATATATATATATATATATTTATTTAAAAAACTCTGGCATATAAAATTCGCTAAATTATCACACACGAGCAGTGAGGGAAGAAATGAAGTACATTAGAATAAAGGAAATTTATTTTTCGAACAAAGCATATTTTGACAGCTGTCAAGACAAAAATAAAGATTAATAGAGGAATATTTAAAAATAAATAAGGCAGACAATGCACTAAAAACAGTATTTAACAATGATAATAATAATAATATAAGAAAAATTAAAAAAAATATTTTTATAAACATTAATATCAAGGAAGATATACAACAAATATATCTCAAGACAAAAAACTTATAAAACAAAAAATTAATTACAAAAAAAAAGTATGCTAAAAACAATGGAAGGCCTCAGAATGGAAAAAAACTTTAATGCTAATGTGTAAACATAATTTGTGTAGTGATTGAAAATTAAACATCTCCTTTGCGTCGCGTCATTCATTATTCTTCTTTTTCTTCTTCTTTTTCTCAAAAATCAATATTGACTTAGTGAATTAGATGAGCAAAAAAAGTAAGCAATTGCGCATTTAAATATGCTATAGTAAATATATATATATACATATATATATATATATATATATATATATATATATATATATATATATATATATATATATATATATATATATATATATATATATATATATATATATATATATATATATATATATATATATATATATATATATATATATATATATATATATATATATAGTGAGAGAGAGAGAAAGAGTGAGAAGAGAGGCAAATTTACGGAGGGGTAGGGGTGTGTTACAACTCCCAAAAAATATGATTTTCAACTTTTCAACAATTTGATCAACTGCTATCACTGTAAGTAACACAGCTTCTTGACTATTACTCGTCTTTTCCCTATGAATCTTTTATTCATGTTTTACTAAAATGGTTATATTTTTTATGGTTAATAAATTGATTTTCATCAAGTACTTACATTGTTTTAGAGTGATTTTATGCTAACTGATTGTCTGCTTAAGTTAATTCCAATAACAAAGAATACTGAAATAGTATTTTATATACTTATTTATAAAAATAACCTTACATGTTTCTAAGACTACCTTTAACTCTCTAGTGGAAATGAAATTAAAGGTTTGTAATTTTGTAATTATTATAACTGCAAATAACGGAAACTAAAGAAATGGCTTTTTGTAAGAAATAGCTATCGGTTTTATCCTTTTTTTAAATTTCTATTCCTTGCAAACTTCAGATGACGATTTCATAACATAAAAATATATGTTTTAAGCGCTAAAGTCATAAATTCAAAATTTTGATAATGGGCTGCTTTTTTTAAATAAACCTCATCCACAAGAAGCATGTAATCATGTATTACATAATTCTTTTTAATTTCCTAACATTCTACAGTCTCTTAATTTGCAATTATCGCCACTGTCATGTAAAAAAAAAATGATAATCATTATAAGACAATGACAAGTTTAACAGTTTTATAACTACAATTTAGTTAATAAATAAAATATCAGACATATTTATAAAAGAAATCATCAAAAAATGAAAAGTAACAGACCACGTAATTTATTAGTAATTATTAATCATACCACGTAATTTATTTGGCTGGATTTGTTACATTTTACTTGCTACATGTTTCGCAGTGTAAATAATTCCTAATAAAGAGGTATTTGTTTATTCTATTTGATTGCTATTATAAAAAATACAAAATAAAAAACCTTTAATATTAAGATTTTACTGGAGAGTTGCTGGTAGTTTTGGTAACATGTAAGATTATTTTTAGCAGCATGTTGATATATAGCTTACTGAATTTCTATTTGAGAATTCTGTGTTATTGGAAAAAACTGAGGCAGGTAAAAAATCCAGGGCGCTACTTAAATATCAGTCCCTTCCCTGTTTTTATGATTAAATATAATAGAATGTACTATGTTAATTCAGTATTGTATAAAAACATTTGTAATAGAAAGTACTCTAATTTCGTTTTAAAGTTTTAAAAATTACAGTGAAAACGTTAATATTAATTTTTTGATAATAAGTTTCACTATATATTTATTTACCTACATCACATATATCACTATATGTGTATTTTTTTCAAAACGAACCTTTTATAAAACTGTTAAAAGGAATTACTTGTTTGTATTTACAGGAAGCTTGCGCTTTATGTTTATGATATTTATATTTATAAATCTTTACCGCCTATGTGCGATTGGTAACTTGTAAATACTTTCCAGTTGTAAAATATACATGTATAAAAAAAAGGCTTTTGTATTGCTGTTAGAGGGATAGATTCGCTTTGTTTCAATTTTTAAGCATTTTACGTGAAGTTTTTTTTTTTGTTTTGAGAATTTTTTTAATTTTTTTGAATTAACTAAAATACTTTACTTGTACTTCTTTTTCCTGATTTTGAAAGCTGGTATTATATTGTAGAATAAATAAATTTATAAAGATAATGTACACAAAGTTTGTTTTTCCTAGGTTTACATTCTCGGTAGACCTTTTGCCAATTTAACTGTAACTATATGTATAATATCGCTTTGACAATATAGTGTTGTCAACAAGCAGGAAGAGATCAAGAAAAATGTGAAATACTGTATCTAATGCACTGTAATAAACAGAAAGAAAACTGTTTTCTCAAAACTATACAGGTGGCGCTTGTTCCTTTTCGAATAGCTTATGAATAGTTGTAATTTTTTTAGATTTTATTCTTTATATTACGAAATCTAAGTTTTTATACGGTTCTTAATCAGCATAACTACGTTTTTATGATTGATAATGATAAAAAAAGGAGAGGGAGGTAAGGGGCTTGGTGGTTAAAGAAATTCTAGTGTGTCCCAAAACCTAGTATAACAAAGCCCCACAAAAAACTCAATAATACAAACCGTGTAATTTAAGTAGGCCATGAATCCAATTAATAAATTAAATTCTCTTGTAGATAATAAACGTGTTAAAAGCCTCTAAACGTATTGAAAGTATTAGAATGTATTAATACGTTAATAGTGATCTAAAACACGTCTTATGCCCTCGTTCTCTATGAGTGTGGTATTGTTTATATCATTTCAAAAGTGCAAATTATTTAAACTTAAAATCAAATAAATGAACATATTAAACAGTTTCAACAGTATACAAATACAAATAATAATCTTCAGCCAAGTTTAGGGTCGACATAATTATAGTTTGATTCCGACATATCGATGTTCTGATAACCAATATTGGGCAAACTTGTATTATTTTCAATAACTGAATTAACAGCATCCGACTTTTGATTACCCATATTACCGTTAGGCAAATGTACAAGTTCTTGATAACCATTGTCTTTATTCAATTCCTGTATTAAAATATTTATAAAGTATTTATAAAGTAATATAGCCCTTGTATTATACATTTAAAAGTATTTTTGATAGTTATAAGTTAAATAATTTAATTACCGTAAATTATATATTTATACTTTTGTAAAAATGAAAAATTAGTTAAACTAATTTCTTGGCTATAAAGAAATTACAACAGTTTTTAAAATGGTGTAAAATATATATATTTTTTTTTAATTAAATGGTAACTAGCAAACACACAGCGCTGGCTTCTATATTAGAAAAAGAAATACATTTTGTGTGTTTGTTGATTAAAAAATAAATCTTGTTTATTTAAAAAAAAATTTTATCTTATTGTTGGATAATTAATGTTTTGATTTTCTTCGGTAGGTATGTAAACATAAAATATTTTGGCGTTCCAACTGTGGAGCGAGTAATATATAATTGGCCGTAAGAAAAACAGAAATTTTATAAGTTCAAACCAGCAACATTTAGGGATTGGACTTGAACCTTGGTAATAGTTATGGAGAAATCCAGACAAATTTGAATTTTTTTTACAAATTTAAAAATTTGTAAAATAATACATTAATTAGTAATAACGTAAATAGTAATAACGTAAACAAGTAATAACGTTGGCTACCATAACTTTCTTTTTTATCGTAGATACAATGCTATTATTGTTAAAACGCTATATTAACTTCGTGAATGTTGCAACTTTATTTTGGCGTAGGGTTTCGTCTATAAATCGACAAGATAATTATTTATGAGAATAAAAAATACAAATTTGTTCTTCAACTATTATATGCGTCGAAAATTTAGGTTTTAAAAAATAAATATAAAATTAGGTGCTCGAGTTTTTTTTTATTACGTTGTAGACTTTTCAACATTAATGTTAATTAATGTTGAAAAGTCTACACGTTATAACGTCAGTAAATATATTATTAGTAATTCTAACTTTATCTATCGTTTTCACTTCCAACGATAATCCGACATTGATTCAACCTAAAAAACTACGTTATTTCACGCTGTTTCAACATTGGTGTGCACACTGGCTTTGTGGCCCACCAATGTTGGAACTTTGTTGAATAACGTTACTATTCATTTTACTATTTTAAATATAAACCCTATTTATGTAAAAGTGTTAAAAGGATATTAGAATGTTCCTAAAATAATGCTTTCTAAATTCTTTTCTACTTAGAAGGATGTTAAAGTTTTGAATAGAAAAAGTATAATGACAGAAGCTTTTGAAGCATTTTTATGAATTATAATACTTTTTAATAAAACTCGGCGCATAAAAAAACTTTTATAAATATTTATTAATTATTAAAGCGAGTTTTTGAACTATCTTTAATTTTTTGAGAACTATTGATGCTCTTAAATTTTTAAATTTAATTTCACACATCGGCTTCAGCTTTTGTCTTTTTCACAAGTTTCAGACTATATTCATAAACAAAAAAAGAAGGTTCATTTTTTTTCAAATAAAATCCCGCAACTGAGGTATCTAGTTTACATAGTATATTATTGAGTGAAGTAATAATATCAACAAGTCACCTAGACAAAGAAAGACAGTTCTGACAATTAAAGAAAAATGTCTTGCCCTTAAAACTTTCGAAATAGGATAAAAAACGTGCCAAACGGTTTAATGTTTCTCAAAACACTTTAACTTACCGGATTAAGCATTAAGAAAATATAATCAGCCAGTATGAGTCTGATCAGTTTGAAGTAAAGAGGTAAAAATTAAGTTTGAGAAAGCATGATTCCGTTAATGAAGCTGTGTGTAAACGGATTATGAATGCAAGTAAGCGAAATGTACCAATTGATGGGCACATTATTAGAGAGAGAGGTTTACATTTTGAAAACGAACTTAACATTGCGGATTTTAAGTTTTGAGAAGTGTTGCGTATTTGGTGGAAGATGATATTAAACACAATGTTGTTTTTTGTAATATTTCTGAAAAGAAAAAATTATGTACAGAAAAAATCAAGGCAAGAGCAAACCTAGATCGATTATTTTTACTGATTATGTAAGAATACATGACCCAAAGTTTGATGCTGAGAATAAAAAAATTACTCTTATCATAGATAACTTCCCAGCTCATCCTATTGTTGACAATATATAAGCAGTTGAATAAGAATTTTTACCAAACACAACCTCAAAAAGATCACCATTGGACAAATATGTCTTACGTGCATTGAAAATCTTTTATCGCACAAAAGTTGTCAGACGTCAGATCAACTACATAGATGCTAGTAATACGACCCCATGTTTTTACATTTTTAAGCTATGAGCACGTTGGTCAAGTCATCGGATGCTGTATCAACAAACACTGCAATGAATTGTTTACAAAATGCAGGCATCTCGCTGGAAATACAGTTTGCTAGTATAAATGGTGAAGATCATTTTATTTTATTTAGTACATCAAGAGTTCCTATTGAACATTACGTAAACATAGAATTTGATTTTTGTACAGGCGAAGGAATAGCTATAACAGATCGAGAAATTCAGAACTTTATTTTGTTCAATGACTATGCTAAGTTTGATGAGAAGGTACAACTCGTCTACCGAAAAGTTAAAATTATCAGAGGTTGCACGTGGAATATAGTTAATTGAATGTTGGTTTCTTTTTGAAAACAACTGCGTCATAATTCGACAATCGCTAATCAAAGAATTGTGATTAACATTTTTTAGATTATTTTATTTGTAAAGCTTTTGTTATTTTATTTTAAATTTGTTTTTTAGAAGGTATAGACTTCAACAGCACTTTAATTCAAAGTTTTTTGAATGCATTGACTTTGCGGATCTTGAGTTGAAGTTGAAACTGAAATGCTTATAACCGTTCATACACAGACCAAGTTTGATGCAATGATTTGTTTAAAATTCGTTTGAGTTTAATAAGGTACTCAGCATCAAGATAATAATCAAATGGAAGGATACCACGGTAGGTTGCATTACGAAGATCATTACCAACTGCTTATAGAAGGTGGTTTAGAAACTTCAAGAAATATTTAATAAAAACATACTTATTATATAATTTTAAACATTATTTGTTGAACAGAGGTTGATGACAAGGTGTTTGTATGAGTTTGCAGCTTCAAGAATTTCACTTTTTGATGCTATTACTACCTTTGCACCTTGGCCATTAAATATAGCTAGTTAAAAAATAATTTATTATCATTCCACCACTTCTATAGGAAACTGTTTTATTTTAATATGTAAGCTACGATATTATCTGCATTCTTTTTGTGTACGTCAGGAGGTAGCTGTTTATTACAAAGAATAAAAAAAAGATTAGGTTAGTTTAACTTTTTTTTGTCACTTTTCATAAACTTTTCTTTACATTATGTAGTCTATTTGTTAAATATGACTTGTTTGAAAGAAAATTTACAATTGAGAACGATAACCATCACGGTAATTTACAATTGAGAACAATAACCATCACGGTAATTTACAATTGAGAACGATAACCGTCACGGTAATTTACAATTGAGAACGATAACCATCACGGTAATTTGATCTTAAGATTGAGAATAATGGTTTTGCAAAACCAAAGAATATTGTCCCCAAGTACTTATTGTTGGCATGATTGCATTACTTGTACATCTTTCAGGATAAAAGAAAAAATGACTTTTAGATATTAATGTGTTTTGTATGTTAAATATAACATATTTTGAAAGAATACGCTCAACAAGTTTGCATGTTACCGATAATAATGAAATCAGTAGTTACAGCCGCCATATCTAATAAATTCGGGTAATATTTTTTTTTTTTTTTATTCCTGTATAATATTATTTACAATAAAATAAATTGTATGAATATATAAGATAGCCAGTGAAAAACCTATACAAAAAACCTTCTTATCACCAAGCCCAATTTACAATGTATAACTTATAGTTTATTTTAACTAGTAAAAATTTTAAAGTACGTAATAAAAACTTTAAACGCGTTTAATAACACGTATATAATATAAGGTAGTTGGTACTTTCTTTATTACAAATGATTACAATGAGGAGTAAAGGTAAGCCATAACTCTGTGAAAATTTAAAATGTACATTTTAGCTTTGATTGGCTATTGCATTACAATCAATAGACTACTATTAGGTCTAAATTTTAATATTTGCAAGTACATAAGTTTGACAAATCATGTTCTCATTCTCTCCTAAAGCATTTTTGAAAAAACTATTGAATTTTACGATTTAAAAGAAACAATTTTAGGAAAAGATGTACAGAAAAAATCTGTAACCGAGAAATGTTAAATTAAACTTAAATTACAAAAATCAAATTAAATTTAACTTTTGTTTCTTATGAATTGAAAATTTCTTAAATAAGGAAAGTGAAGATAAAGGTTGATTTTATAATAATTAATGAGTATGTGCTAAGAAAAAAGTAGAGAAAGGAAGGGGGTTGGTCGTTGAAACCATTCAGGTAAGTAACAGGTAAAAAGTGGGTCCTAAGGCAGTGTTTTTACTCTGTACGTATTTTATGGATGTTTCTAAAATCAAGACCAGCTTAAATACTATTTAAATTAAAAACTACTTACATCAAGACCAGCAAATTCTAATCTTTAAAATTTGATGATTGCTTTATTTTCTGCATAGGGTTTGTTGAAAAATTTAGTCTCGGTGTATAATCAGTATTAAATGAGTTCAAGTTGTTCAATAATTATGAAAAAGCAATGCGATATTGTTATAGAAACTTAAAAAACTCATAATAAACCTAAAATCATTTTTCGGGTCACTGTCACTTATGACGTCATGTCTTTTGCTGATCCAATTCTTTTGAATAAATTTTTGAAGCACGAGGTTTTTAACATTAGTAAAATTAATAAAGAAAAAAGATTTCCTATTTCGCAGATAAAGATATTTACCTTTGCGAAACAAATTTTACTTACCTTTTACCAGTGAAAACTGGTTTACTTTTGTTATTTTGGGTTTACTAAATCAAACAAAAATATTTTTAAAAATTTGTCAGAATAAAGAAGATTTAGACTTAAAAGTCTATTGCAAACAACTGTGATTTTTATCAAACACCTCAGTGTCACAGAAGATTTTGCTTGAAGGAACATTAGATTTGTACAAAAGTTGACTTATGTACGAGTCTGTTAATTTTCAAAAATCACACCCTTATAATCGGAGACAAAACGTTTTAGTGTTTGTTAAAGAAAACCAAAAACAGTTTTCAAAGAACATTGATCAAAAAGATGTAACTAAGTTCAAAATTAAAACTACTTAAATAAAATTATTTAAAGTTGAATAAAAAAGAAATATGCGTCACAACGTAAAACACTGTTGCTCAACTAATTCAAATAAAAATATATGTAAATTTGAAATTATAAAACAAAGGTTAAACAAATAAAACTGTAATTCATTAAATATGCTTGTTAGTATGTAATAAAAAAAACTATGAATATTTATGTTATTGAAAAACTTCATCTACCTGTACCTAGCAACCATGTACCTGTACATAGCAATTTTTTTAAATAACGATTTGAGAATTATAAATACTCTGAAACACTGTGTAAAACAATTATTACACTCCACATTCACTTTTTTTGAACAAAGGTAAAAAAAACTCAAAGTTAATTATTAACACAATAAACATTGACGTATTTGATAACCTAATATAAACGCCGGAAATGAGCAGTTAAAACGCTAAGATGAAATAAGCAATTAGAGACCACTGAGCCAAAGTAAATTTCTAAGGATAGAAACTCAATCGGGTACTACGGGGGATCATAAATGTCATAAATCGATCCAAAGGTAAAATATATAAGTAAATTCGGTTGAGTTATACAAAAATATTAGCGTTTAGCAAATGCAGAAACAATTGAAATAAAGGTGTTTTCTGATAGTTTAGGGCCCTTTGTTATCTTGAATCAATTACAGTCACCGCGTTATCCTACAAAGTTCTGCTAAAATGTCTAGTCATCAATAAATTGGACTTTTTAAACGTTTGTTTACTTTTTTATTAGAACATAAATACTTATTTTAAAACATCTAGAGGCTTTCAATATTAATGAAAAAAACTTTACAAAAAAAAATATAATATGATCTGAAATAAAAAAGTTTTACATATGATTTTATGACTAATTCTGTGCAAATGGTAATAAAATATAATTGAGGAATACATAATGCAAATCCAACAAATTTTTGGAACAAAGTAATATTATTAGTTAAAATTTCAAGTTTAATGATAAAGCATCTAACAGGATCTAGTACAATGTTGAATATTTTATAAAGCTGTCTCAAAACTAATATGGGCTTTAATTTAGATGTTTTTATGTCAAAAACAAGAATTTTGGATTAAAACTCTGAATGAATGAACTTAACTAAGGCTTATCAAGTAATTTTTTTATTCCTTTACTTTTTCCTTCCTTAATTTTATTATTGTTTAAAAAAATAATTTTTTAATTCTACAAAGTATCCTATTTGCGTTTATATTTATGCTAAAAAATATGAAAATGTGAGGCAAGGAAAATTACTGATAATTTAATTAACATACCTTTTTTATTTTATTTGACAGCTTCTTATGCCTTAAAAGTAAATCAAACTTGATTATAAACAAACAAACAAACAAACAAGCAGTTTCTATTTCTAATTTCAAATAAACAAATATTTTAAACTTATATTAACCATAACTTTCTATCTAAATTAATAATTTAATACCTGTAATAACCCAAAAAATAACTTGCAACTAACAATGCAACAAAAACTGTACTAACTCCGACACCTATTCCAACTGTTGTTGAAACCTTTCCTGCTTTTAAAAATAAAATGCTATAAATAGAAATCTCTATTTTTTCAAGAAAAGAGTTTTAATCTACATTCATTTAAAAAACAAAATTATTTAATATAAAGAAAATAAACATAAAAAAAAAAAAAGTTAAGTGTTAATATTTTTGTAATAGGATTTATAAAACTAACTTTTAAAAAGTGTTTTATTAATATTTCATAAACATGAAAATGAGGTTTAGAATATATATCTATAAGCACTTTTGGCTTTAATACGTATTAAAAAACATATATTTTTTAGGGCTTTTCCCTGCTATATTTAGGCCTCTCCCTATCTCTGGGCCCCAAAAATGGGAACTTAAAAAAAATAATAAAGGTCTTTAATATGTAATATGGGCAACCCTAATATGAAAATTGTGGTTACGGCTTTGGGCTTGTTTGTGTAAACGGTCTATTGTGTCAACGTTAATATAGTTATATTTTTAAAACCGTTTAGATGAATTAGATGATAAAATTTTGAGAATAAATAAAAGTGATGTAAAAATCATGACAATCTGAAACTTAGAGTTGCTTAACCTAGGTGTTTTCACATGGATTTGCCCGTGTATGGTTAACTCATTTATTCAATTTTAGTATTGGGTGGTTAAAAGTAAAAAAACATTTTTTCCCTTTTTTTGAAATGGTCGGTTGAAATGAGCAATTACAGACCAGCGAAGACGCTAATGAATAGTCTTACATTGTGTAGGGATAGAAATTTTACTTGGGCTTTATGGTATCATAAAACGTCATAAATCAATCCAAAGTTAAGCAAAATTTGTTTAGCTATAAAAAATTATGAGCGTGTAGAAAATAGAGCTAACAAATTATTGTCAAGCCGCTTGTTATAAATCATTAACTTCATTTTTGATAAAATAAATCAATCTTTTAAATAGGAGTTTCATTATGAAAATGAAAATTAAAAAATTCAATTTATGTAGGCTCTTACTTTTATAAAGCGTTTTAAGCGCTACACAATGTTCTATTTTGCTTATCTGGCAGCACTTTATTCAAAAATCGAAAGTTTATGAAAATAAAATCTATGCATGTATTTCATTTCCTAAATGTTCAAAGCATCTAAAAATGATAAGATGCTAAGAAAAAAAATAATGCCTTAGCTGAGTCAGTGATCAGAATTTGTATATTTTATGAAGTAGATATATTATCTATTTTTTCAGTCTTATTAGAGTGTGTGCTCAAGCTATACGTATTGATATTTCCTAAATTTTTTTTATACTTTTTTTACCTATAGTTTGAAGTAATGGATTCTGAAATTAATTTAATTCATTTTTAAGGATTTTATCTTATTTTTACTCAGATAGTGTTTTTAACATTATTTTTTAAATTCTATTAAGCTTTTAAAAAATATACCCCATTTTTTCCTCAATAAACTAAATAAATTCTTGTAGAATAATGTTTTCTCTATATGATGTATATATCTGCAAATAATAGCAATTTTAGACTTTATGTCTTTTTTTACAGAAAGTGACGAAATTACCAATGAAAAATTTGTGGAGAACTACTAAATCAACTGAGAGAATTAATATAATTTGTGAATATATTTTGAAAAGTTGAAAAGTTGATAGTATTTCTGATTTAGAAAAACGGAATCTGAAAAATCAACTTTTATTTTTTTCTATTAAATTAAAGCAGAAATGGGAGCAAGCTTGTCGCAGCCATTCATATTTTGTTCGGAAATATGCGAGTTGGCTGAAGCTGGTTTTTGAAAGAAAATATTTTTCAGATGAAGATTTAGAAGCTAGTAGTTCTTCTGTTGATGGCCGTCCATCAAAAGCTTTTAAGGAATGCTCCTTTAAAGTGCAGATGCGCAAAGCTAAAAAATTACTTGAAGATAATACTCCTGAGGAAATTTCGCTAGCCGCCAAATTAGCAGTTTGAGCTGAAGGAAAACGAGAGACGGCAAATTTATTTAAAGAATTATCAAGCGCCTCGCCGGGATGTGCAACAAAAATTAAGAAAGCCCGAATAAGTATTGAAAATAAGGTGGAACCTATGCAACCCGAAAGGGCACTTGCAATGATAATTAATAACAAATTATATCTACCCATTAATATAAAAATATAAGAAAAGAAGCTAATGCATCAGGGCATCGAGTGTATCCATCATATAACAAGGTTTTGAAAGAAAAATATAAATGTTATATCGGTCACAGTGATACCATTTTCCCCCAGAAAATGGTATCACTGTTACTAATATAAGTGCCGAAGTTACACTCCGAGATTTACCGGATTTGACGGCAAGGCGATTGTGCCTATTACAGAAAGAAGTATTACTTTCTGTTGCTGAGAAAAACGAAAAGTTAAATTTGATTTGCAAATGGGGTTGTGATGGGAGCTCTAATCAAAGCAGATATAAACAACTTTCAGCACAGAAGGCTAACAATGAAAATTTATTTTCAATTGCGCTTTTATCCCTTAGATTATTAATGAGCTCCAATACCATTATTTGGAAAAATCGAAGACCAAGTTCAATGAGATATTGCCGTATTATTCGTTTTTTGTTTAAAAAAGAAGCAAACGATGTGATAAAAGAAGAGACTAGATATATAGAAGACAAAATATCAAAATTGGTACCCACAATTATAGATATAGACGATGTGCAGTTTGAAATAAATTTTAAATTGTTGTTAACGATGATAGACGGTAAAGTATGTAACTCGCTAAGCGAAAATAGTTCAACACAAATGTGTTACATATTTGGTGCCAAACCAAAAGAGATGTTACAAGAAAAGCTCACATCTCAACAAGACAAAGATGTATTCCTTCGGTATATCCCCACCCCATAGTTGGATTCGCTGTTTAGAGTTCATTTTACATTTATCCTATAAATTATGCATAAAAAAATGGCAAGCTAGAACGCAAGAAGGAAAGGAAAGTGCAAATGAGACAAAACAACTAATTCAAAGATTATTAGAGGATAAACTTGGGTTATTTGTTGATAAACCCAAACAATCATTCGGTAAAACAAATGACGGCAATGCTAGAAGATTTTTTGAAAATCCGCATATAACATCAGAAATCACCTGAGTAAATGAGGAATTAATACATCGATTCAAAATTATTCTTCATACTTTAGGCAGTGGATTCCAAATAAATTCAGAAAAATTTCATCAATATGCAAATGATACTAAATATTTATACCAATCTATGTACCCATAGTATTACTTGCCAGCAAGTATTCCTAAAATATTAATACATGGGAGAGATATCATTTCTACATGCATTCTTCCTTTGGGAGAATTGTCAGAAGAAGCCCAGGAAACTTCAAATAAAAGTTATAAATTTTATCGTGAGTAATTAACTAGTAAGGTGACGAGAAAGGACACCAATAGGGATATATTAAATAAATTTATTTTTTATTCTGATCCAATTTTGTCCTACTATTACTTACCACCTCGAAAAAATTCAAAAACTTTTCATCCAGATACAATCAAATTGTTAATTTGTGACAAAATCGGGCATTCGGAAAATAGTGACAGTGATATGAGTGATTCTGATTAAACAATTAATTATTTTAGTTTTGTTGATAAACTTGTTTAGGTTATAAAAATATTTCAATAAACAATCTTAAATCTATTGAAGTTAAATAAACAAAGTGTTAAATTTCAACTCATTGATATTAGTATGCTGAGTAAGTTTTTAAAAGATTATTATTATGTAAATATTGGTTTTGCATGTAATTTTTATTAATTTTATATCTATTTTATATAAAATTTTAATTAAAATTGCAGCTAAAGGTATTTTTATAGAAAAAATAATAAATTTAAGACAAATAATCAATGAAATAATACACAAAATAATTAAGTTCCGCTAGATTCGCGAAATAGAACACTGTGCGCTATAGCTACTAAGAGTATATTAGATAAGATTCTAGTACAAAAGTTTGTTTCTGGAAGAGCATAAAAATGGATTTGATTAATCTAATGAATATATTCAGATACAGATTTCAACAAACCATAACAGACAAATCTAGTTTTATAAATAAAATGTATCAGAAAAACACACTCTGACACAGAGTATCAGTTTTTTTAAATAACTGCTATGCATATCATAATAAATAAAATTATCTTCAACATAATCCATTTAGGTCTTGTGAAAAATGTATACAGCAATATAAACACACACCATTTTGTTGTCTTGTTTCATAGACTCTTCTAAGTCATTCAGGTAGTTGTTATAGACATCCATCACAAGAATGATGCTATGAGCAGTCATTAAATCGTAGTAGTAATAAAGCATAGCGAATATAATTTTTCTGAGCAGCTTGCTGAGTAGTGAAGTAGGCACCACTAGCACTATGAATTAATAATCTTGGCTTGTTTCAAGTAAAAAACTAGTTTAGTCCATTAAACCTCATAATGTGTAAGATATTACATCTGCCGTTGTCAAAGTTAAAGTTTTTATTCAGTTTATTAAAAAGTTTTTACCATTTTTTGTGCCAATATTTTTGCACATTTTTGCAATTTTTGATAAATGTTGTAGACAATTATGTTTAGTACAGCTCGCAAAGGAGTTGCAATCTTACATCATCAGATTTTCTTTGTACATTAATATTTTCACATGCATCAATTAAAATTTGCAGAAAAGCAATAGTATCTTTTTAAACTATAATATAAAAACTCTTTAATTTATAACTTGGTTTGTTTTCTAAGTTTCTTTATAAAAAAACGCATTACTAGTTTCATATTTTGACTTTCTACAGGCTTTGGAGGTATGGCTAATTCATTTAAATGATATAATGTAATAAAAAAGTTTAATTCGAACAATCTCCTCAGCTTCAACAAATTAAAATTTAATCCCTTTAGTCTTTTCGGTAAGCCAATTTTTACATATATTTTTCTATAAGTATGAATAATTGTATAACAAAAATATTTATGTTTTAGTTTTCTAAGGTTTATTAGAAAATGGTATCAAAAAGAGTTTAAAAATGTCTTTTTACTTGATTTTTGTTGCAAATTACGAAAATAATTTGTCCACTGGATTGATCAAGAGATTTAATTACATTAATACAAATACTGAATTGGAAATCAGAATCCACGTAAGACAACGATACAACTCTGGCAATAATTGTAGGTCCTGCAAAATGAGCATCAAACAATTACAGCAAAGAGTGTTCTGCCAAGCTTTTCTGGGTTATACTGAGCATGAATATAGACTTTTCTACCTTAAAACGTTTACATCATCAAATATGACAGTTGCTCTAATGTATACTTCATTAACCATTATAATACAAGAGCGTCCTCCAATCTCTGAAATACTTTTAAAATTAAAGATACAGTATCAAATATATTTGCTTTTAAGGTCAATTTCGTTTAAGATTGTACACTAGGAAGCTGAAAATCGTTTCTTAAATAGATATTTTTCTTAAACGTTTCTTAAACGCTTGCATAATGCTTGAGATACACCAGTTTTTATTATACTTTATTATTATATACTGAATAATATTTGGTGAATACGAAAGCCCTTTTACAGTGGTATTTTTCATTGCAAAAGTTTTTTCTTTTAAAGCTTCTTTTTTTTTCAATTCATTTTAGTATTAAATACAAAACAAACTGCTTTAGGTTCAGATTTTGAAAATTTTTCTATTACTCTTATTTGGTACTGTGAAAGAGCAGAAATAAAAAACTGTGAATCCATGTGAAATACTGCATATGGTTAATCACTTTTAATTTAAAGAAGAAATTTAAAAGATTATCAGGAATATGAAATTAGTCACATTGCTACAGAGTTGTAAAAAGACCGAAAGTAGCAAAACTACTTTTGGCGTTGTTAAAAAAAGTAAAAGTAAAAAGGTAGAGTGCTATGACAATAAAACTACACGTTAAGAATTCAGACCAAATTATGCGCAGTATTTGACTAATTCAATTTAAAAATATTCTTGTAGATATATATGAATGCCGAAAACAAAAATACATAAAAATAAATAGTTAAAACTTTTATTTCCTTTATTTATGTATTTTTGTACTTAATACTAACAAATAATATTAAGATCTTTTAAGTAAAGATATGCTGATATTCTTTGTTAGCATCAACTATATGTCGTAACCATAAACTATGACTAAATAACCTATAAGTCTTCATTACATTTGAGAAAAATCAAAGTTTCAATCATCGAATCAGACATACGAGCACTACGACGGTAAGTTATCAATCCACTATGACAAAATTAACGCTCAAGAGGAGCAGACGTTTTAGGGAAACAGAAATACTTGTCAAATATATGTTTCTAAATTTTGAATATTATTCAACTGTGAATAGTTTTTGTAATAAAAACTTTTTTAATTAAATTTTTTTATGACCGAACTATCAAATTAAACTATTGCTTATTGGTTCAAAAATGGTTTTCTGAATAAAAT